AGCAGCAGCAGTAGCAGTAGCAGCAGCAGTATCAGTAGCAGTAGCACTAGCAGTAGCACTAGCAGTAGCAGTAGCAGCAGCAGCAGCAGCAGCAGCAGCAGCAGCAGCAGCAGCAGCAGCAGCAGGAGGAGCAGGAGCAGCGGCAGAGGTGTAGAAGCGCACCCAAAACCAGACACAACAGAAGCTCAACCATGGATGTCTCAATGTTTCGTCATAATTAGCACCCGCTCTATATAGATAGATACAGTATGTGTGTTATATATATATATATACACACGTTTTTACACACACACACACACACACAAACACACACACACACACACACACTTTGTTACAGCTATATCTAGCTGCGTGCGTGTGTGTGTGTGAGATTGATGACAGAGAGTTGAATTTCAGGGCGCTTGAACCCAGTGGATGCCAGCTTCAATGCGGCGGTGACCGCTGCGTCCTCCGGCCACAGGCCTCGGGAAGTACTTGAACGATGGTTTCGGACATGAATTTTACACCCTAAACCCTAAACCCTAAACCCAAAAGCGTTTAGGGTTCAGAGTTCAGGGTTTAGGGTTTAGGGCTTAGGGTTTGAGGGGCCTAACTCCCGCAACCCTACATGGAACGCGTAGCCACTGACAATGACGGGTACCGATGCCACGGCTTCCAAGCACTGGGCCGGAGGCTTGAAACCCCAACCTAGCTAGCTTCTTGCCTCAACGGTTTAGGGTTTAGGGTTAAGGGTTCAAGGTTCAGGGTTTAGGGTTTAGGGGCTTTTCTATTTAAGAACCCTACATGCTCTCCCCTCATACACCGGGAAAGGTTTAGGGTTTAGGGCCCTAGACCCTAAACCATATTGCCTCAAGCAGGTGGGCTTTTGCTATGCGCCTGGTCCCCATGGCTACTTCTTTCGGTGCAAACGCCTCGCTAGCGGCAATGCGCAGAGCATGGTGGAGGGCATTGTCAAGGACCGTGGGACCGTGAAGAGGGAGTGTTAATCATGATAGCAACCACCGTAAGAATAATTGCAACAATAATAACAAGAATTGACATAGTAACAACAACAACAACAACAACAACAACAACAAGAATAACAACAACAACAACAACA